GTGCTGGGGGATTGAACCGCGGTCCCTGATGCCTTGCCAAGCTTGTTCTAAGTAGGTGCTTTAGACCACTGAGCCATCTCTCCAGCCCCCATCTAAACTTTTTTAAATGAAGCATAAAATATACAAATCTTAAGTGTTCAGTCAGTAAAATAAAGAACTTTTCAAATAGTAGTTCTATTGGACATAATTACATACCAAAAATTTTCTTTAAGGTCTACAGTAGTACAGTTTTTAGTACAATTACAAAATTATGCAGCCATCAGCACTGTCTACTGCCACATTATTTTCGTCACCTCACAAACCCTGAACTCATTAATGATTGTTCCCTTCTTTTCAGCCCCTGAATCTACTTTCTGTCTATGGATTTGCCTATCTGGATATTTCATACATTGATACTAGTTTAAATTTGATTTGATATTTAAGATAACTAATATATCTGTTATTAGGAAAAATGGTTATTTCATGTGATCGTTTCCTCCTAAAATGAATAAAATACTATCTATAAACAGCAAGAAGGGTCGGGAGATCCCTCAGTAGAATAAGCGCTTCCGTGGCAAGCGCAAGGGCCTGAGTTCAATCCCTGCTTCTGCAAAATAAATAAACAAATAAACAATAAATAAAATAACCCTAAACAGCAAGAAGATACCCATACTATATTTTGCCTGTGAAAGTAAAAACAGTGGCAGTACAGTCAGCCCTCAGGATCCATGGGGTCCATTTGAGGGCCTCCCCTTTTATCAAAACCCACAGATTCTCAAGTCCCTTATATAAAATGGCATAGTAAAATTAAAACAATACTGAGATTCTGTCACACTCCAGAGTGGCTTTTATCAAGGAATCAACCAGTAACAAATGCTGGAGGGGCTTTGGGGAGAAGAACCCTTCTCCACTGTTGGTGGGCGTGTAGACTGGTGCAACCACTATGGAAACCAGTGTGAAGATTCCTCAGAAAACTAGGATTGGAGTTCCCGTTTGACCCAGCAATTCCCCTTTTGGGTATCTTCCCCAAACAAAAGTATACCACAAGATATATGCACACCCATGTTTATAGTAGCACAGTTTGTAATATGTAAATCTTGGAAACAACCCAAATATTCATCAACTGACGAATGGATAAAAAAGATGTGCTTTTTTTTTTTTTTAATGGAATGGAATGGAGCTCTGCCATTAGGATAAATTTGAGACATTTATAGCTAAATGGATGGATTTTTTTGAGACCATATTCTTAAGTGAAATTAATTGAACATACATATATAAATATTCACACTGTCTCTGGCGGGAGAAGTTGAAAATATAAATAAAAACCAAAATGTGTAACAAATTGTGAAATATGAAATTATTCAAAAAGAAAGAGGAGTTAGGGAAGCAGGAGGGGAAAAGGAAGGAATGGAAAAGAAGAAAAATGAGAAATGGATAAAAATGAAACAGCTTTATAAATAAGGGGAAGAAAGTGTAAAGAAAGAGGTAAAGGGGAAAAAAGGAATTAAGATATATCAGGTATGAGTGTGAATTCCCTATGATGAATGTGGTTACTATGTATATCTAAATTGTACTAATAAACTTGATTTTAATTTTTTTTTAAGTACTATTTCTTTTTTTTTTTTTTTCTTTTGTAGAACCGGGCATTAGAACTCAGGCTCCTGTGCTTGCCAGGCAAGCACTTATTCCACTGAGCCACTCCCCAGCCCCTTAATTTTTTAAATAGCATGACATTTGTATATGATCTCTGCATATCCTCTATATTTCATCTCTGGATTATTTTAATACAGTATGTGTGCTATGTAAATAGCTGTTATACCATATTACTAGAGGATAATTACAAGAAAATACATGTGTTGTGTTTTCCCCAAATATTGTCAATCTACAGTTGAATCCAAGAACGCAGCGCTAACAATGCAGCGAGCCCAGGATAGAATCAGCCATGCGGCAGAGTTTCTGTTTGCGGGTCTACTGTCACTAACTCATACCACACTCCTATCCAGCCCTTCCTCTTATTTCTACAGTGATGTTGGCTGAAAAGAGCTGAGGAACAGGAAGTGTTGCACACTGATTTAAGAAAGCATTGGATGCAAATGTTTCTTTTTATTGCATAAGGCAATACTTTAATGTTCATAATTTAAAAGGTCTTGGGTAAATCCAGCCTTATAATTTTTTTTTTTTATAAACACTTTGTTGGTTTTTTTTTTAATTTTATTTACTTATTTATTTTGTGTGGCCAGCTCAGCCCACCAGGGGACGGGGTTGGCTGGCATGTGGTGCTGGGGGATTGAACTGCGGTCCCTGTGCTTTGCTAAGCTTGTTCTAAGTAGGTGCGTTAGACCACTGAGCCATCTCACCAGCCCCCTTATAATTTGTTTTGAAGGTACATTTCACATGTTAAGAATCCTATCCCAACTTGATTTTAACAAAAGTTTTCCCACAATGTACTTTTTGTATATTAAGTTTATCTTCATTGAGAATTTTTTTTTTAATTTTTTTTTAATTGTTTTATTTATTTGAGAGAGAGAGACAGAGAGAGACAGAGAGAGTGTGTGTGGTGTGTGTGTGGCCAGCTCAGCCCACCAGCGGGCGGGGCTGGCTGGCATGTGGTGCTGGGGGATCGAACCGCGGTCCCTGGGTTTGCCAAGCTTGTTCCAAGTTGGTGCTTTAGACCACTGAGCCATCTCTCCAGCCCTTCATTGAGAATTAAATGTTGGATAAAGGGAAGTAAAAAATCAGACAGTTGGGTTGTTATTCCCATTACAAGGTTAATGGACCTAGGGCAGGCTCCCTGTGGTAACAAATATATTTAATATATTTGTTTTTGCCAGTCTGCCTCATCATCTCAGCTGGGTTCTGCTTATCCAAATGTAACACTTTTATCATCCAGTGCCACATGTATGTCCTCTCAGCCCTGTGTGAGCTCACCTGCCAGTACAACAACCCTGCCTTTTGTTTACAGATACCCTTAGAGTTCTGTGGCAGTGCCCTCTTACCACTCATGCTGGGAAAACAAACTGCAGTGTAACAACTTCTGCTGGTCACTTATTTTGCTTTCCGAAAAACACATTAATCAAAAAGCAAATAGTTACTCCACGGTAAGTCTGAGAAATTCATAGCCAGGCACCCTGCACCCCTCTTCTATCAGTATTTTCAGACCAGGGATGTGTACACATATGCTCACAAACACACCCCCAGAGATGGAAATGATTGGGAGACAGTAATACACATGGACCCTGAACTGTTTTCTTCTGACTGCAAGATATGAAGAAATCTCAGGCCCTCTTTTTCCTGAATGTGTTTTCCTTCTGAAAGCAGAGTTCACCCCAGGTAAAGGCAGGCTGCCAACTTAACAGGACAGTCGAGTCCTAGCACATACTATCCCTCAAGGATTCTAGTTGAAGGCACTTTTATTTCCCCAAAGCAGTGATGGTTTTCTGGTAATGAAGATAGCGGTGAACTTTTGGGATCAAAAAGAGATTCTCTGCTTAAACTTTTCTAATTTTGGCATTTCTTTTGCTTAGTACTGTGGGGTTCTAGTATGTGAAAAACCTTAAGATTTCTGAAGCTCACACCTTTTAATCATAAATTGGAGCCTAGAACCATCTTCCCTGCTATTTTTTTAAATTTATATATTTATCACTCTCATTTTGCTTTCCAAAAAACACATTTTTTTTTTTTTTTTTTGCCACAAGTCACATGTGAACTTTTTTTTTTTGTATTTTAGGGAAGGTTTTATAGGGTGTTCAGGGTCTCACTACTACATCAGTGTCATAGTGATCCACCTGTGTACAGCCTCCCAAGAGCTGGGATTACAGGTGCATGCCACCACACCCGGTCTCAATTGCCCTCTCAGTGTGCCCCAGGGGTGGGGCCAGCAGGGCAGGCCCGGGGATAGACCCTCTTGCCTCTGTGCCTGCTTGCAGGCGCTTTAATCCGCTGAGCTATTTGAGCTTTTGTTAAAACCAAGCTGGGATGGGATTCTTAACATGTGAACCCTGTACCAAAAAACCCATGTATTTTGTCTCCTTATGCAGCTCGGACTCATTTTCAGCCTCCCCAGCGCTGGGATTACAGGTGTGCGCCATCACGCCAGGGCGGGGCTGGCATGTCCCAGCTATTTTTAACTAGACTTGTAAGAGTATTGCTTCTGCACATTCAGGGGTCACAGACTTAGAATCTAGAATCTAGATGTAAACATTTTATTTTATTTTACTTTATTTTGCCATACGGGATCAAACTGACCTTGTGCTTGCCAGGCAGGCACTTAAGCTGCTGAGCTATTTCTTGAGATAGATGTAAACATTTTATTGTTGCACCAAAAGAAATTGTTCTTGCTCTACCCCCAATTCTTTTCTTTTTTTTTTTTTTTTAAAGACAGCTGTGTAGTCTTGCTATGTAGTCCACAGACTGACCTTGAACTCAAGCAGGCCTCCTGACTCAGCATCCAGAGTGCTGAGACTACAAGTATGCACCACCATGTCCAGCTCTACCCCCAGTTCTTTCCAGAATTTCTTTGATTCATAGGGCAGAAAAAGTACATTTGAGCAAAAGTATGGAGATTTATTTTCCCTAAATAAACACCTCCCTTATGAGAAAGTACACAAGGCATATATGAATGATGAATTTTAACTTTATCCCATAGGTTCAAGAAATGTTTTCTGATCTTTAATTGATGTTAATCAAAACTTTCTGGGTGTGCAAATGTCAGTGACTGTTTTATGTTTAGGAAGCAAGTACGATAAAATGATGTTCTTTCCTCTGGGTCACAAACTGAGTAACAGAGCTGAGAACATACAAAATAGTCTTAAATCATTTTGAGTCCCACTGGGATTCCTCTACCTTGACAGAACTTTACTGCCAGCGAAAACCTTAGCTCTCACTTTTCTCATCCCTTCAAGTGACTTAAAGAAATATAACTTTTATTTAAAAGTACAATATACATGTAGGCATGATGGCATATGACTATATTCCTAGCTACTTAGGAGGTGGAGGTAGTGGAATCACAAGTTCAAGGCCAGCCTGGGCAATTCTGTTAGACCTTATCTCAAAATAAAACAAAAGGGCCGGAGTTATAGCTCAGTGGTAGGAGTGTTCCTGGGTTCAATCCCTTGTACCACTAAAAAATAAATAATTTTAAAATGTTACTGTATGCTATTTCTCAATTTTCTGTCAGTGGCAGATAAGAAGTAACTAAGTAGACTTTATATTTGCTACATATTTTAAGCAGTGGGAAAAGGTTTTAACCAGAAATGCCCAGGTCATATTTTTGCTGTTAGTGTAAATGTAACATTAATAAGCCATAGCTGATATTTGCTAAGATTTGAAGAAAATGATCGATCATGGAACCACATTTAAACTAATCTTCACCCTTGTGTCTGACTTTATTAATTTTTTTCTCTCACATTGTTTTCATTTTATTTTATTTTATTTTATTGTGGTACTGGGGATCAAAAGGGACCTTATGCTTGCCAGGCAGGTGCTTATGCTGCTGAACGATCTCCCTGGCCCTTTAAAACACAGCATATTGTAATGTTGTTTAGATAGTCACTGGAGTGAAGTTCAAGCAGTTCTCCTACCTCAGCCTCCCAAGTGGTAGAGACAATATGTTCATGCTACCATGTGTGGCTTACGCTGGCGTGTGTGTGTGTGTGTGTGTGTGTGTGTGTGTGTGTGTGTGTTTGGTACAGGGTTTCCCTACATGGCTCAGACTCATAGTGATCCCCCTGTTTTCAGCCTCCCCGGCACTGGGATTACAGGCATGTGTCACCATACCCGGACTCGGTGGCCAATGTTCTTCAGTGATATCCAGGAGAGATCTTGATGGTTGGAGCTAAGCAGGCAGGGAAGCACATGTCTGCTTTTCCACCCATTCCTGAATCAGTTGGTGGGCAATGGCTAACTTGGGGGGCAACAAGAATGGGAAAGCCTCATTCTGTTGCTGAATATAGGTGCCCTTTTTCCTCAGTGCTGTGGCTATCTCATCATAACTAAACCAAGCAGCTGCCTCTAGTTCCCTCAAGTTCACCTGGATCTGAAAGATAAAGAATCAAAGAATGTATAATTAGAAACTATAAAACATAAAACACTACGGTCAAAGGTAAGAAAGTTGTTATATCTAGGGGCAGGGAGATAGCTCAGCAGTATAAGTGCCTGCCTGGTAAGTGCATGGTCCTGAGTTCAATCCCCGGTACTACCAAAAAAAAAAAGTTGTTAGAGGCCCAGCAGTTTTGGAAAATAACACCTGGACTTTCCAGGCAAGGTGAAAATTAGTTCTAGATATATTCCAGAAACAAAAGAAGTATAACCAAGAAATGAGATTCTTTTTTTGTGTGTGTGAAACCAGGGATTGAACTCAGGCCCTTGAATGTGCCAAGAAAGTGCTTAAATGCATTTTTTTACATAGGGAAAAAAGATAGATATATAAAAAGTCTTGGGAGCATAAAATTAGAGGTGTAGCTCAGTAGTACAGCATGGGTTTAGCAATAAATGAAGCCCAAGTTCATTCTCCCAAGACACACACACACACACACACACAC